TTAAATGTACCCCATCTCACTTTTTTTTAAGTACAACCTTGCCTTTTATTCACAGTGAGAGTCAAGTGTAACATCCAAATTAGACATAAAATTTTTGAGCTTCTTACCGTGACCACCCACAAAGTTATGGGCAGACACACTCACTGTGCTGGCTCTCGTGCACCTCCCCTCATCCCTCCACAGCCTGCTCTGGGTCTGGGGGCTGCCTCTCCCACCCTGGTGTCCCTCACTGGGCCCCTTGACCTCTGGTTTCCCCTGGGTTTGGCCAGTGGGAGGCACCAACAGGAGATCAGAGAGTGGGAAGAGAGAGGCTGCGTGTTTCCTCCCCGACCTCTCCTCTCTGTCAGTAACTTTAGTCCTCTAAAACCATAGCTTGCCCCCCAAAAAACCACAAAAACCACCAAAACTACCATTCCCCCTGAAAGCTTCTCCTCTAAATTTCTAGCTGGAATTCTACTGGCTCGAGTGACTCAATTTCCTTTCTGTTCTTTCAGCCCTAAAGGTGGAAATGGCTTCTGCTTCTTTTGAACCCCTGGTGCATCACCACCCTTTTGGACTACCTTAGCCCCATCTCTGTGTGGGTCTCTTCTTTCAAAGTCTCTGCCTTTGGACCACCTGGTGGGGGTAGAGGGGACTCCTATCTCCTACTTGGACCCTGAACGACCTGCTCATCACTTCCTCCCTCCTTTCCTCTAGAGCATGGGGCGTCCTGTCGTCTGCACCAGGGCATCAGCCCATCCATTCTCTTGACATTGCCTCTTTCCTGCATGTTAATTTCTCCCATTCTGTTCTGCTCCCTGACCCTAAACACACTCCTAACTCTTCCATCGCCTGCTTTGTACTCTCTGCCATACCCTAAGCATTACCTTTCATTTCATTCACTCTTCTGGGTGAAGTATGATCTTGTCGTTCATTTTCTTGTCTCTCGTTCGGTTGTCCCCATCCTGAGACCTGAGTGGGATCCCCTCCATCCTCCTTGCTACAATGTCCAGTGATGGAGAATCACCACCTCCAAGGATGGGTCTCAGCAGGGACCTCACACAAGCGCTCTTACTCAGGGTGATGTTGGGTCATGAACATGGCTCTCGGTCAGGTCCCTCTACCAGCTCCTGACCCAGTGTGGCTTAGGTACATTTTGTAACTCCTCTGACCCTTGGTTTCTTTTTGTGCAAAACAGGATATAAGCTCCCTATGTATCTATATCTATCTGCAATGGGCACGCATTGCTGGTGTGTGGGGACACTCATGGTAGTTACAACAGTCACCACTGCACTTGTTAACCATCACTGATTTTCTCTTGAAACTCTCTTCTTCCATGACATCCATCAAAGCAGGTTTCCATATTTATCCTCCAAATTCTGCCCATTTTTTCTTAGCTCCCATCTGGAAAGTCTGGCATTTTCAAATCTCCACTTCCAGCCCTGGGTGCTTTTCAGTACTGGCCATCTCTGTGAAAGACCCCACCCCTCACATGCATCCAAACCCAGCCCTCACCCTCCTTCCCACCCGCCTGTGCTTTTCATCCTGATGGACAAGGCTCAACTCAGCCTGACCATGTGTGTCAGAAACGTGGGCTTTTCTTGGTGTTCTTCTCCGTGGGAGATGCTGGGCCTCAGGGGTGCCATGGGCAAGCAGCCTCCATCGTCAACGCCTTGTGGGGGACTCAGCTGCAGGGCACCACCTGCTGGAGGCCTTCCCTGCCTGGGCAGAGGAAGAGAGAGAGAGAGAGAGAGAGAAGGGAGAGTGAGAGTGAGCAAGGAGCCCTACAGGCCCGGGGGACAGACCCTGTGGATGGCATTCTCTCTCCAGAACTCCTGGTAGGACTGGGGCACGTGGGGCCTGAGTCACTGCCCACTTCTCACTATGCTCAACCCTGTGACCTGACTGCCCCTGCTTTCCATAGAGGTTGACACCTGATAAGCATTTTGCATCCCAAACTCTGTCGCAGCTTCTGCCTCCAGACGCCACCCTGCCTCATTCTTGTCATGGCCACAGGTCATTTACCTTCTCACGGCATCTTGCATCCATCCCTCTCTTTCTGACCCCATTGCTCTTGCCTTTCCTGCCCTCCTCAAAGCCCCAGAGCCACCCCAAGTCACTATCAAAGTGGGCTCCATAAAATGCAAACCTGCCTGCGTAGCCCCCTCTCAAGCTTCTCCACATCTCCCTGCGTACCCAGCCCCCTGCTGCTCCTCACCAACCCAACCAGCCCAGTGGGAACCTCTGAGCTGGCCTGGAATCCCTCCCACGCAGTCTCCTCCTGAGAAGTGCACCTGGAGACCCTAGCACGCCCTCACAACTCTGCTGGGGTGGGGGCAGCTCCCACATCCTCAGGTCAAGCTCGCTCCCCTCTGGATAGTTTTTGTATCTCACACATATTAAAGAATGCACATAGCTTCCTGCTGGGTTATAACATTAATTTTAGATTTTCTGCCTTCCAGGGGGCAAGGCCACCTTTCCCAGGGCCCAGGTCAAGACACATCCACAGGAACCTGTGGGTCACCTTTAGACCTGGTAACAGGCCAGGAGAGGGACTCTCCCCCCAGGCCTCCAGGAACAACCAGCCCTGCCTGCACCCTGGCTGGGTCCCGCTAGGACCTGTGTTGGACCTACAGAACTGGAAAACACTAAATTTGTGTTGTTTTAAGCCACTGATTACATAGAAAGCTTAATATAAACAGTGGCTTAGAAAACAAATACACCTTTTAATTATTGATTTTATAAAGAAAAACCACAACATGCTGAAAAGGCTGTCATTGTAAATGATCCCGGACTGCCTGGCCTTTGTGTCTCAAGACTGACTTTAAAATGAGGTTCTTTTTCAGTTTTCTTCTGGGCTGTTAGACTATGAAAATTTCATTTACATTTAGCATTATCTAACAGAGTAGTCTCCACTGTCATCCATCGCTACATGGCATACGAACCAGATGCTTAGGCATTTTGGAATAAGATCTAAAATGAGCAGGAACGGCTCCCCAGTAAGGGCAGAGTGCTTTGCTGTGAGCGAGGTGCGTGAGCTTCATGGGCTTCGCGGCTGCCTCCCACCGCGGAGAGGCCTGGGGGGCTTTGCCCTTCTGGTCTCTGCCACGTTCCAAAGCGTTGATGCTGCCTTCTGGGTACGTGAGGCTTTACTGTGCTGTCATGTTCTTGGAATACTAATTTCTCGCTTTGATTAGGCATATTTTCATATGTAGCAAATTTACATTGCTATTCATATTTTAAAATTACCAATTTCCCTCCATTGGCCTGGTAATAAAAGAAATAAAAGTATCCTGGTGCCTAAAGGGTTAATTACATAGTTTTGGATATTTTTCCTGCCTTGGCGATGCAGAACGTGCACAGGTGTTCTGTATTCTTTTCACATAAGAGAATCAAGGGCCGGGAGCTAGGTTTTGAATGTGCATTCAGTGTACATTCATAACAAAAGCTGAACGAGGGCACAGCCACTCACGGTGGCTTCTTGATGTAAGTGCACGGCTGAATGAAAGTTTGGGGGCACAGCTCACCTCCAGGAAGGCGACCCCGTTCACACTGAGCCCTGACCCAGGGGCCTCGAATTTCTTTGTAAAACTAGTTTTTCCTCTTACCATAGCAGCTGTCCTCTTCCTGCGTCTTTGCAGTCAGGCTGGTGCTTTTTTTTTTTTTTTTCCCACACTGCCGTTGGGGAAAAGATCCCGCCTTTGATTGAAATGGAATCTTCCACTATTGAGCGAGCCTTTGCTGAATGAGTCATCGGGGCGGCCGCTCATTGGCCGAGCCGCGAGCCGTTGCCTGGCGCCGGCTGCAAGGCCGCTTCATTCACAGAAACGCTGGTCGCTCGCCGGCCTCTCCATTCACACAAACAGCGTTTCATTCACATGTCGCTGTTTTTTCTGCTGCTAATGAAGACCTCGGCTTGGGAACCATAGGGCTGTTTCGCTTCAGATTTGGGGAGTACTCTGATGACCGTCAAAGTCGCCTACGGGGTGTGCACTCGCTGTTGCTATGCGAGCAATGGGCAGGGAACGAAAGGGTGCCGCGTGGCTGCTCCGCTAGGGCTGCGGCGCGGGAGGGGACGCGCTTCCTGCGCCGGGGACGCCGCGGCCGCTCTGCGCCCTGCGCCCTCCGAGCTGGCCTTGCCGGTGCGCCCGCCTCGAGCGGCGCTCCTTAAACGCTGCTCCTTGGAGCAGGGCTCAGGACCCGGGACCTCAGGTGCCACACGCGACAGGACTCGGGGTGACCTGATGATGTGCTAGAGGTGAATGCATTCGCCCGCACGCAAGTTGCTGGGAAACTTTGACAACGAGGGTTTCACCGTGGGCAGGTTATCCTAACGCACGACGAGGACTGGCAGAGCCCACCGAGGACAGTGTCAGTGGGGTTGCGGCAGACCTCCGAGGACGGCACTATCCTCACCGAGAGGAAGAAGGCCTGTGCGTTCCCTTCCAAGCCCGAGTCTGACGCCTGGAGAGAAGGCATTTTCTCCTGCGGGTTGGATGTGCAATGAGAGCAGCTGCATTGTTTCCTTGCTGACTGCAGGGTTGCAAGCAGCAACCGAAGAACTTTGAAATGTATTCGTAGCGATTCTTAGGCGTTTTCCCAGAGCTTAAACACATTCAGCAGAGCTAAAGCTTCAAATGCAGCCCCCTTTTTGGAATGGATTTCGAGAGCCTGTTGCCACTCATCAAAGAAGCACTCTTCTTTTTTGGAAGTGGATATTCAATTAACCCTTGCTGAGAAAGACTGATGGAAATTAGCAGGGAAGACCCCTGACTGGCACTGTGTAGAAGTTCATATGCAGATTTTTTTTTTTTTTTTTTGAGGAACTGCCTTGCCACAAAGACACTTGTCATGGCTGCTCTGTTGATTTGAAAAGAAAAGGAAAAACCCAGGAAATTGGTATTTTATGTTCACCTGGGGGGTGAATGTCCCTTTTTCTTCTATTCAAAAATTTCTGCTGCCTTCCAAATCAGAATTCATCAGGATTCGCTGAAGATCTTATTCTTAAAAAGCCTTCGTCACATTTTAACGCACTGCTGTTAGACACTGTTACAGGCTCACACAGATGGGCTGAGCAGGGAAGAGCAAACCCTAACAGGATAATGGGTTTCAGAAAGTTCATTTGACCATTTGAAGGAACTGGATTTACCTTTGGCACAAATGCAGAGTGGGGGCGGATAGGGAGGTGAAAAAAATCTAAGGTTGGAAAGAAATATCTGGGAAGGTAGAAAAAGGAAATTTGAAAACTGATTGGCTCTAGTGTGCTGTCAGCGGGTGGATGTCGTTTCTTCTTCTTCTTCTTCTTTTTTTTTTTTTTTTTGCTACAGGAAGTGATTTGCAGTGCTCACCGAGCCTTTGTTGAGAAGGGTCTCCTCTCAGAGTGAGTCATGCTTTTGCTGTGAGCGGCCCCGAGCAGCTGGCGCTCCGTCAGAGGCAACTATGACTTTTGCAAAGCAAACGTGCAACCCCAAGCAGCGGTCTCCCGGGCCGGGGCTGCGTGGCCGCTGTTGTGCTGGCTTTTAATGGTGGGAGGGCACCGCTCTTTGGCTCCGCTCTCCCTCTCCAGAGGGCTGTCCCGGGGCCCCCGCTCTCCGTCCCGCTCCGGGGACCGTGGCTTGCCTGCTATGCGCGGCAGCCCGCGCCAGGGCCGGCACCAGCAGCGCCCGGGCGGATGCAGCGAGCCCACGGAGGGGCATGCTTCCACGCACCAAGTACAACCGCTTCAGGAATGACTCGGTGACATCGGTCGATGACCTTCTCCATAGCCTGTCGGTGAGCGGCGGCGGCGGCGGCGGCAAGGTCTCCGCGGCGCGCGCGACCCCGGCGGCGGCCCCCTACCTGGTGTCCGGCGAAGCGCTGCGAAAGGCGCCCGACGATGGGCCCGGCAGCCTGGGCCACCTGCTCCACAAGGTGTCCCACCTGAAACTCTCCAGCTCGGGCCTCCGCGGCCTGTCGTCCGCCGCCCGGGAGCGGACCGGCGCGCGGCTCTCAGGCAGCTGCAGCGCGCCCAGCCTGGCAGCCCCGGACGGCAGCGCGCCCCCGGCGCCCCGCGCCCCGGCCATGAGCGCCGCCAGGAAGGGCCGGCCCGGCGACGAGCCGCTGCCCAGGCCCCCTCGGGGGGTGCCGCACGCCAGCGACCAGGTGCTGGGGCCTGGAGTCACCTACGTCGTCAAGGTGGGTGCGGGCGCGGGCCACTCAGGCAGGGCTCCCCGGCTCCGGGTGGGGGCCCAGCCCGGGGCAGACCCCTTCCTTCCCTGAAGCCCGGGGGTGCGGGGAGCACCTGCGACTGTCACGTTAGAGGTGAGGGAACGCGCACTCCTCGGCAATCAGCTCGCTTCACAGCGATGAGGAGGGAATTACAAATGCGCTTTTTCCGAACCGATTGGGATGACCCAGTCTGTCCTGGTTTTCCCTGGGCGCCACTCTTTGGGCATGCCCTTGCCACCTGGCTTTACCAAACGTCCAGCCGGTGCCCCTTTCGGCACGGGCATCCACCCCTGGGAAGCGGGGTTCGGCCTAGTGTAGGTGAAACACACTTGGAAGACCTGGGCAGCCCCCGGGGTGACAAAGGCACAGAGTCGCTACTTCTGCCCTCTTCCCGCGGGGGAGGGTGGGCGTTTTCTTTGCCCCACAGCTAGAATTCCCAGCACCTTGCAGAGCAGGCCAAATGCTGTCCTGCTTTCTACAAGACGGGCTCTACTTTCTTGCCCAGGCCAGGTTTTCTCTGGTGTTTGTCTTGCGTTCCGTGTGGAAAGGCTTTGGTTTACAGCAGTGGAACAAGAATTTGGGACCATTTTTCCGGGGGCTAAAAGGAGATGAGGGAGCTGCTCTTGGAGCCACAGGCTGGAAAGGAGTTTCTTCCTACAGTATAAAGAATTATAAAATCACCATGTAGTCAATAAAATTCATCCCTTATGCAAGCATTTTATGATATTTAAGGAACAAATAGCGCAGGTCAGTTAATTGCCATTCGCTTCTTTCCAACTGCCTGTCGGGCAACAGCTATTAGAGCCTCTACAGCTGGGCAGACACCGGCTGTACGGGGTGGGGGAGGCTCGAGGTTGCATAATTTCAGACCTACCACTCCAAGGCATGACTTTTTATTGAAAAAGAAATGAGACACAAACTCTATCCCCATGGTGTCATCAGTAACATGGAGAAACCTGCAGGATGGCCCGTCTGTAAATAAGGGCTACAGAGCCAGTTTAAAAATTCAACAGAAAACATCCTCAGGTAAAATGCAGCATCTTGGTAATTTTGGAACTGTTTCTTTAGTAAAAGAAACAGTTAATATTGTGGGTTACCTTTAACTATATCGAAAGTGCTTGTAAATGAATGTGACCATTGGTATTAAAAAGAGAGCCTCTTTGCCTTTTGAGACTGCGTTTAAATTTAACCTTCACCTTAGTTTCTGAATGTGAACTGTTGTATTTTACCAGAAAGGATCAGCATAAACTATGCATATTTGGTTGATTTTATTTTAAGAGAAAATGAATAGTTGTCTTGTATTGCTTATTTAAATTATGTAACCAGCAGCCCAAAACAAAAAGAAAAAACAAAACCAAACAAAAAATCCCAACAACTTTGAGGTTAAAGTGCGACACCAGAGTGTACTATTAATAATTACTTCTAGAGTGTTAGTGTAATTGCTATTAAAAAGCCTACATTTAAAATAGATGAATGAATAGACCTTGGCAAAGCATTTTGACACCTGTCGTGTTGAACATAGAGGGTAGTCTTCAAATTTAGGGAGAATTCTCAGACTTACACCTTTGCTTAGAGCTTTGCTTTTGCTGTTTGAAGAATGAAGGCAGCCGTCTAGTTCTAAAGGTCAAATGTGGCAAAATAATGATGAATGTACTAAAATAAGTCAGCCCTGCTTCGACAATCTGTTGATGTAAGGTTTGTGATTTACCCCCAGTGGTAGCAATAGTATTTGTACTTAGAGGGCTAGATCTGTGCAGAGCCTGGCTCCGTCTTGGGGGTACTTTGTGGTGCCTTAAAGTTGAGGGTCGCAGTGACCAGGGGTGCATGGCATGACTGATTAGTGCTCTGTGCTGTTGTGGGTGGTTTGCTCCCTTGTTCATCAGCAGCTGTGAACAGTGGTGTCATGTGAAAGTAAATGCGGGCATTGTCCCCTGCTTTCCTGGAGAAGTTTGAAATCACGCAGAAAGAAAACCAGATACCAAAGGACAATTTCTTGTGTACATGTTCGATTCAAATCATCACATGGCCCTCTGTTGGTGCACATGTGCAAATTCCCGCATTGCCCGTGTTGAGTTTAAAACCATGAAGTTATTTTATTAAAAAATTATGAAACTGAAAAATATCTTAATTTGGTGTTATTTACTGATTTGTGAGCAGTTCTATTGGTATCCTTACTTTAAAAGATTTCTGGTAGACAGAAATGGGCAATCTTTATAGTATGACTGGATATCAATCATAAAATCCAAAGATTTAGGGTTTGAAAAAGGACTTATTATTCTCTTGGACAGAAATTTTTTCTCAATTAAAGAAAGCCCCAATGTTTTCCAGTTTCCTGAAAAATTTATATACTGTATTATTATAGATTTTCCCTTCTCACAGAAATACCTACTTATAGGTGATACTAGGATATTGCACATAAGAATTGTAATTCAAAAATATTTCAACTTAATCTGAGAGCACAGACTGTAAAATACAGAAATCTGGTGGATTTTGATCTAGGAAACATCAAAATATTTGAGCAGCAGCTTATAACATTAATTAGTGAAGCATGTAAAATTTAAAAATGGAAAACGTTCCTGAGCAGCACTAGAATTCGAAGCTCGTGGCATGGTAAATTGGTCCGTCACTGAGTTTGCTGTTAAATAACAGCTCGAGTTTATACACATCTGGAAGCTGGAGAAAGGCTCCAGCTCACGCAGCTTCAAGGTTTATACTCATGTCAGGTGGGCCTTATTGGCGACACCTTTCTATCACCCTTGAAGGATAGCTGCCCCCCACTTTTTCTTTTGATGATGTAAAAGAGAAAGAACAAGAAACTACAGATAGAAAAGAAAAATCCAACAACAAAGAACAATGAATATTTTCATTAAATTTCCATTTAAAAACTATTTTATATTTGGGCTAAAGACTGATGGAAATACAGAGTACTGATAATGGTGCTGTCAGCCTTTAAATCCTCTTTTCCTGAAGTCACAGCTGGCTGGGACCCGGCACTCACGGAGGCTGCTGGTCTTCAGCACGTCCGAAAGGCAGGGCACTGATGCTTCACCTCCTCCTTCCTCAGATTCACGCAGGGAAGACTTTAGGGTGGAAAGAAACACATGAACAGTTGAGGGGACAGGAGGTCGGTGGGGGGTTCAGTTCTTAAAGAACCACTGGGCTGAGGCAGAACCTTCTGGACCTTCTGAAGACAGGCACAGCCTTGAGGTTCAGCTTTGAAACTGTCCGCTAGGGGTCGAGTTTGGAGGGAACTCTGTGGGCTGCTCTGTTAGCCCTTGGCCCCAGGGTGGTCCCCAAAAAAGGGCTCCTTCTTAGATCCTGTGACACCACAGACTGAAAAAGGTAAGAAAAGAAGCGACCACATTTAGGACTGACCCAAATGCCAAGGAGAAGAATCCGGAGACCAAATGGAAAAGGAGTGCGCTTAAGGGCCCGCTGCCCAGCGCGGTCCCCGCAGTCAGCAAGCTGTGAGCACACAGGTCGCGCCATGCGTAGACACCTGCCAAGGCTCCGTCAGACTCACGTAGTGTCGGTGGTGGAGAGTTACACTTTTACTGACGATGAAAATGACTATTTGTAGGAGATTTGGATGATCAGAAAAGTACTGCATCATTTCCTGGTGCGCTAAAGTGTTTCTCTTTTGAAACGAAACCCTGTTTGTAAAAAGAACTCTGTAAACTTTATTTCTCCCATTTGTGAATCTGATGATATTGAAAATCATTTATTTTATTTGTAAATGTTGTATTGTTCTTTATAGATGGTCTTTATAAATTGCATTTACTTTAAAATTTATTCTTGTTTTTCTTTTTGCTTGCCTAAGTACATAAAAATATCTTGAATGGTCCTTGTCTTAGCACTATATTCTTTTGGTAATTGTGAGCAAAGATCATAAAAAAGTTATTTTAAGTATAGCCATAAAATATTATTATGGTAAAATTGATTAAATATTGTTTTAGTTCTAGATTGAAAATTTGTTCCTTCAAGTGGAGTTGAACTTTGATAGTTGATTTTTCTTCTTAAAATTGTTTAAAAATCTCATAATATGGGTAGCTTACACATAACCATTGTCCAAATGGTTTGAAAAATAGTTTAAGAAATTCTTTTGACATTAACAGACACAGTTATTGATTTGATCGGGAAGTGGGTCATCTCTTTATGTGACATACGCATAGATATGTTAAATGCACACACACACCTCACACACACACATCACATATACACACCCACACACTCATAATGACAACACACACACCCCCACAATGACAACACACACACACCTCCCACAGGTAGACAACTTATGATGACTTCGGATGGGCGCTGGGGTTTTTTTTTTTTTGTTAGAAAATAGTAAATGTCATATTTTTAGAAATGCCCAATTATCTCATTCATTTCTTTTATATTCATGTTTAGGAAAAAAGTCATTCTGAAAGATAAGCTGTTAGTGGAACTTTAATCCTATAAAGAACAGACTTCTCCTCTGCCTGCCCATGATGTTTTACCTTTGAATATATGTCATATTTTTGAAGAACATATGGTGCATATTACTTCAGCAAAGTCCTGGAGACAGAAAGCCTAGGGCAGCAAACATGCGAATCCGCTCCCGGGGCGGGACGCGCAGGATGCGCTGAGCCAGCGGGCCCTGGCCTGGGCAGGATGCGTCCATCCGAGCAGAGGCCCGGCCTGCTGAGAGGCAGGGCACCGGGCACCCGGGCTGCGGCTCCTCTTGCCACCTCAGTGTGGGGCTTGAGCAGTCGGCCACCTCTCTGGACCTTGCCGTTGAGGGCGGGGTTGCGCTGGGGTTGGTCGTGGTCTCTATGGCTTGGGAGCCTGGCGCGGGGGGAATGGCGGTGTGGGGGCCAGTGCGGTTCTTGCTCCAGCATCGAACGCACAGGAGGAGGCGGGCCCACAGGAGCACGCTGCAGCATCAGGCCAGCACGTGCCGATCGCTGCGGCGGGGCCAGGGCCAG